AAAAAAAAAAATTAAACTCTTTTGACTAATTTTTAGAAGGTAAACAGGTAACTTTAGATTTTTTATATAAAAGAATTAAAATAAAATAATAAAGAAATAATAGAAAGAAGACGGCTGCTGCTTGTGTACATTTTACAGCCCACACTGATTAGTGTGGGCCCCACTGATTAATTGGGTAGGGGTTCGGCGTTTTGGGTTTGGGAAGATGATAAACTATTCTTCTAGAATTTTTCCCCGGGGTTCGGCATTTTGGGTTTGGGAAGATGATAAACTATTCTTCTAGAATTTTTCCCCTTGTACACTCCTTAATGGCAGTGGGGCCCACACTAATCAGTGTGGTTTGTAAAATGTACAGGACTGTACAAGGGGAAAAATTCTAGAAGAATAGTTTATCATCTTCCCAAACCCAAAACGCCGAACCCCTACCCCATTTCCCACTCACCCCCAAAATCACCAACCATCTCCACCAATCAACACTGCCACAAAAATCGTTGGGAAACTGCCTTCTCTCCACCACCACTCCTTCCACCTCTCCACCACCAGTCCTTCCGGCCAAATCCAGTCAACCACCCTCCACTCGACTACAACACCACCACCTCTGTCAAAATCCAATTATCCATTCGCACACCACCTGCACTACCAATCTAGTCATCCATTTGTACCATTCTCAAAGTCGACATCACTGCACACAAACCTCAAACCATCATTAGAGGGTGCAGAGGAAGAATACAAGCAACTTCATTTCAACTCAGCTTCTTGTTCTTCAGTTTCTCTTTTACCAATTAACCAATTATTTTGATCTATACATTTCAAGCAACTCCATTATTGTGTGTATGGGTTATCTATATTACGGATTTCAGCACAAACTCAAATTAATTAACCAATGATTTTGAAGAACTTGCAATTCGAACGTCTTGATTTACTTCAAGAAATTGCAAGAACGTTTTCTTGGTCAGCTTTCTTTCTTTCTCGGTGCACTCGATGCGTATGGCCTTTGAAACTGGTTAAAAAATAAAAAAGAAGAATAAAGATGGCACGTGCAAGATATGTATTACTTCTGTTTTTAATCTATTTCGGTATTTCTTTGTTAAAACTATAAACAAATAGAGAAGAAAAGAAGGGTAGGATTTCTTGTGCAATTGCATAATGAAAATACATAAGAAATAAGCTTAGTAAATAAGAAAAAAGACTAGGACTGATGATAGGTAGTTCCCAAGTCCTAAACTAAGAAAAATGAAAACAAAACTTTTATAATCACTAGCATGCCTAGCTTGTCGATATATCCTGCATTTTAACATGAATTTTAGCCTTCAAATCTTTAATGAATTGATCAAAAAATTTCTCTGATGGTCCATCTACTGCCAAAGCCTTATGCAGTATTGTTCTTATCTTCTTGATCTCCATCCTTAATCCATCTGAAACTGTTCCACTCCTCAATTTGTCAATCTTCTCTACAAATTCTTCCCTCGTAACCGATTCTCCATCACAGAGATTGATTCCAATCTTCCAATCATCCACCACGAGTTTCCTATTAGTAGGTTGATCACTTGTTAACGGATAACAAATCATAGGTACACCACACCATATGCTTTCCAATACCGAATTCCATCCACAATGTGTCAAGAACCCTCCAATGGCCGGATGCGAAAGCACCTTATTTTGATTGCACCATTGAACAATCAACCCTTGATCTCTGCTGTCGTCCGCGAATCCAAGGGGCAAAACATCATTATCATTAGAGTTCACAATATCACTTCGAATCACCCAAAGAAAACTAACTTTGCAAAGGAGAAGTCCATGAGCTATTTCTTGAATTATCTGCTTACTAGTCTGAACGAGGCTGCCAAATGACACGTACAAAACCGAGCTGGTGGGTTTCGAGTCAAGCCATGCTTTAGTGTCCGTTTCCGGCCATAAATTCTGAGAAGTGGCTGGTTTAGTGGAACCGGTTGAAAAGTTTATAGGGCCAATTGCATAAGTTGGCTGCTTTTGGTTTAGAGCTGATATTGCCTCAAATTCTAGTTCTTGAACAGTGTTTTGTAAGATAAAATCTGCATTTTTCACTTGGTCAAATATCTTTATTATAACCTTTTGCGGCAATGTTGTTTTGGAAGATTCTTTAAAGAATGGCATCAAGTCCCTTGTATTTATGGAAGAAACTCCGGGTATGTAATTTATATTCTCCTCAATATTGTCTGAAAATCAAGAAAATTACATCAACATGGATGAACCAATAGTGATCTTGCTCCTCCCACTGTCTCACAGCAAATGGTCAGTGGAGGGGATAAGCGTAAAGCACGACTAGGATACATACAGTCGAGAAATAAAAAGTGGGGGAGAGGAAGAAAGAAGACGCACCTTTACAAGGAAAATGACCATTTTCTCTAAGAAGGTCCAAGTGATAAACTGTAGAAAAAACTAATGCTGGTTCTGTCCAGAATGATACATTCACTAGGTTATATTTCCTGGCAATTGTTGCAGGCCAAGTGTAATAAGTATCAGCAATAAGAAAATAAGCTGACTGGGGATCAGACCGGATTATTTTCCCAACAAATTCATCGACACGAGCTGGGAAATCTCTCAACATGGTTTCCCAGTACTCAACGGAGTGCAGAAATCTATCAAATTCAACAGGAAAACCATCAAAAATTGTTGTATAACGAATGTCAAGACCAGATTTGCGTGCTTCAGCGAACAAATCAACTTCACTACTGGAGTTCTGGGATTTGGACAACATTTGGTGTATGAATTCTGTATGGACAAAAGTGATGGCACAACCCTTTGAAGCAAGTTTCATAACAAGATTCACAGAAGGGTTAATATGACCTTGAAATGGAAGTGCAATCATGATTGCATGTGGCTTTTGAGATGACTTCGCCATGTTTTTGCCTGATTGATTAGCCTTCAAAGTTAGCCTGATTAAGTTGATTTAGCGTTGGTGATTTTTTATATTTGTGGAATTATGGACCTGTGTGGATGAAGAACCAGTCAAAGTGATGACATTTCAACGAAAAGGAAATGGTGATAGCAGAAGCAAATAAGAATATGACAAGATACTAGTAAACAAAAGGTCAAAAATGACTGTAAATAGACGTGGGAGGTCAATTTTACCTAGTTGATACGCCTCTGCTGCTGAATGGTGGCATTTACAAAACACTAACTGTTATCCCCCCGTTTCGAGGTTGCAGAAAATTGGCCACGTGGCAAGCCACGTGTAGGGAGGTCAGAAAGGAGCAAAGAGGACGATCAAATGGGTCAGAAACCCCACGAGGGAAGTGGGCCGAGGCCCTTCATCCAGAAACAAACATCTTCTCATAGCCTCGGCCTGAGGCACTTCCTCAAAGACAAGGCAATACATGATCCGAGGTCTTGCTAGTATCCTCCGAGGGTCATAAATTCGGCGATGCCTCAGCAGATTCGAAGATCTTCTTGGATTTATTGATGGGACGCCTACAATAAAGTGCGTAGTTGTAAATAGTGTCAGCCTATTACTAGAGTGGTTGACCTTTAGTCAAAACATTAAATGCGTTGATTAGACAGCGACGTGAAGCCTCAGTTTAGGATATGCCTCCACGTGGATTTGATCTAACGGTCACCACGTCTACCAGAATTGTATAAATGATTCATTTCTGTGTTCATGGAAGGGGGATTTTTTGGGCCAAGAAGAAAGGAGAGAAGAAGAAAAGCCTTAGAGTTATCAAAAATAAAAACATTCTGATTCATATCATATCTATCCTTCCACATATTCCATGACAAAAGAAGAATTTGTTTATAAAGTATGAAAACCCAGGGATCATTGTTAGTGTGATTTCCTTCATATATTACTACCGGAGTCCAAACATTTTTGTTTCTCGCCAGAAAGTGCCTCCCACGTTCATGAACAGTAAAGCTACAGATTGCATTCCGGTAGAAACGTGTCGAACCCGTACTTGACACGGCAAGAGTGGGCCCGGTATCTGTTGAACTCATTTTTTGGGGTCAACTCTAACTTTGGAACCGTATCTGTTTGTTTGAGCCGTGAACAATGAATGGCTCGTTTTAACTTTTTAGAACTTTGACATCTTATTGATTTGTTTATAGGAGCGAGAAAGCTTCTCCGTCCCTTATCTCAATTTCCATGTCACCGTGTGGCCCTTTAGTATTTGTAGTATGAATCTTAATTCTCGCTCCTCAATTATCAAGCAAGTACCGTTATATTAAGATTGAGGAAGGAGATAGGTCGATCAGATTTTTGATGTCTTCCTTGTTTGCGTCGGACTTCGAGTGTTCTATTTTTAGTGGGGAAAAATTGAAAGCGTGAGGAAATTCTTGTATTCTAGTTTTTTTTCCTCATGTGGTCATTAGTTTTTTTTCTTATTGGCTCATTGTGCTTTTGGGGAGCTTAACAAGTTAGGCTCGATGTGACATTAAATGATATGTTTAATAAAATGTATCTCATATCCATACATTTAATTGACCTTATCATTTCATAGGACGTCAACTATTTGTGGGTAAAATTCCCCCGACTTAGTATTAGCGCAATATTCAAGCTCGGCTTATTCCCAACCATACAAAACTAGTCATCTTACTTAGTATACCTTCAATTCTTTGTTACATCTACTGAGGCCCCTCACTCACACAGAATCCTAGTTTCTATTTTTAATTCCAAACTTCTTGAAATTATTTTCACCCAATTTCAATCATTTCGACAAAAAATAAGTTTATACCTTCTCCCTTAATTGTTGTGCTAATATAGTAGACTTCACATATATATCGTACTTAAAATTAATTTTTTTGGGTGTTTTTTAGAAATTAGATATCCGACACTGTTCAAATAAATACGTAAAAAATAGTTAAGATCAACCATCCCAATGGTTCTTGTTAACCGTCCCCTTCGTCAATTTGACACATCACCACTAGGGGTTGGCACAGGGTGAACACCTCAAACAACTAAGAAGATCAACATTGAAGAACAAAATGAAACATCAAATAACAACACTATAAATTCATCAAAGTTTCACCCCTGGCTTTACCTAAAGAATACATAATGAAAATGTAACAAAGAGAAAATGAAGAAAACTAAAATATGATGAAGAGAAATTAATGCCCCAAATACTTGGCCAAGGTCCCCTTTCATAGGCAAAGAAACATACAACATGCAGGTGAAAAATTGTAACTTAGCTAGCATGTCCAATTTGACATAACTTTTTAGCTATGATGTGTAGTGAATTTGGACTTTTGATCAAAAGATGAATTGTTACCTTTCCATTGGTAAATATTAGGTCCATTGAATGTCTATATTTTTCAAATATGGCCAAAAGTCTAAGTGTTGCTCGCTGGTAGAAAAGTTGTACACGGCAAGTCCCAATTTGGACTTTGAAAGGTAATTTCAGCTGCTCTATAATGCGGATTTATATTCCTTTCGAACATGAAAGTTGTAGACCGATTTCTTATCTTTCAAATCCAACTTGAATCCCATTAGTCCAACTTCTACAGCTCAAATTATTTTCATTTTATTGAGACTTGCAAGCTATTCGAGACAGCTCAACCTTTTGAATATTCAACATGTTTTCACTTGCTCCACATTTCAAATGCACCAAATAAAATACTCTTTTTAAAGTATAATATTCTTGCACAATTCATTCTTTTTGTGTTCTTCCAAGAACCTGCTTTAGCCATAAAAATGTGCGCATTGTCTAAATTTTTTCCATCATGCATAATTGCTTTTTCTTTTCATTACTTATAATTGAATTTTTTTGACAGTCTTATATTATTTACTTCGGAGGACATTCAGATGGTTCAGAAGTAACTTCTACTGATCTTCACCAGGTCAATGAATTCCATCACAAGTTTCTTTAGTTTGGTGAATTTATTTTCTTATAATAAAGAAAAGGCGAAGGACTCAATAATTTATTCGTACAAGAGACATATCAATGGTTTTGCTGTTGTTCTTGAAGAGGAAGATGCATCGGAAATAGCAAGTATGACAATTCATAATTTTTTTTTTTACATTTATTCATATGTTTCCTATGTCTCAGGTTTATAGCATGTTTGGTAATAAGGAAAAAAAAATGTTAAAATCTCGTTCACCATAGTGTCCAATACAGCATGTTTATTTTGTATTAAAACTTATTTTTTGTCAGTGAAGAGCATCTAGATGTAGTATTTGTTCTCTTGGATCAAGGAAGAAATTTACACACAACACATTCATGTGAATTTCTTATGTTGGGAACGAGATTCTTAGCATTCAAAATGCTAATATTACCTTAAAAATAACACAACCAGTGCAATGCACATGGCAAAAACTAGTATACTAAAAAGAGGTAACTTACACAATAGGAATGTAAACTTTCTTTTAAATGATATATCTATGAAGCATATTTAGACAATAATTATGTAATACTCCATTCCATTTATATAGACTGATTTCATTTTTTACACCAATTAATAAATTTTATTTATTGTTATTGAAAAATACTGTTTGCCAAGAACTTTCTTAATTTATCATTATTTAATTATCAACAACTAATAATAAATTGGTTATAGCTAGACAATTTAAATAATGATATATTAGTAAACGAACAAAACAAAACATTCTCAACAAAAAAACAAGACTATATAATTGGGATAAGAAAATAAGGAAAGTGGTCTATATAAATAGAACGGAGGGAGTATCACATTATTCATTTAATTGGATCAATTAAGTATGATTAGTTACATTGGTGCTAACATCTTAAAAAGTTAACTTTATTAAGAGTAGTATACAAAACTCTTATATATATTGATCAATATTTCGATAACCACTCGATGTGAAATTTGTTCCTTAATAAAAATGTCCATCCTATCGAGAGAAAAAAACGTATTAAAGGGATATTAAACTTAGGCAAAGTGCCAGGATAAGCAGATGATGAAGACACTAAGGAGGTAGCAAATTTTATTGGACATCTTAGTACGTGTACTGATATCGTTTAGGATATGAATTATTTAGTAAATTTGGAATTGAATGTG